CGGCTAAACCGGTTGTCGTTCCGAAATGCTAGGCTGACTAATCAACGAGATATATAATAATATTGTAATAATAATTAACTATAATATATGTATATACAGAATACTGATCACTGATGTAAAATCTTTTTTGACTATAGCCGCCATTTGCAGTTGCGTGTTTGGATTGTAATATATAGAAAATAATTCCCAAAGATAATATACTGTCCCGCTATATACCTAACGCTGTTGAGTATAATATTTTCAAAAACCAAACTTGTTTCCTCCCCCCCCCCCCCAACTCCAGTAAAATCCCACAGAGCGGTGTATAAATATTAATAAGTACCTATGCACCTATGTAAATGTATGTATATAGTATATATAATCTGGTTGTTGTTTATATAAAATGTGAATACCGGTACACACGTGCAGTGTTGGGTTATAAACCTGATGCATATACCTGCAACAGCACACGCGTGTTCGGATTTTGAAACGCATATAAATTATTATGTATGTTTTAATCTCTGTTGACTATTTCCTACATTATGTCCCTATACTTCGAAATCGGACGTGTGCATTAACATGCACGAAAAAAATTAAAATAAAATACAAATAGGCACAAGATTGCTCAATCAATTACCACTACACGTCGATATAATATCTGTCCAAACAGAAAATTACCATCGAAGACCCGTTCTGCGAGAAAATAAGTGTCGAATTGAACTTTAGTGTGACAAGTGAAATTCATGAAAATGAAATAGGTATTATGAAGTATTGTTTGCTTATAACTCATTGCATTCATCTCAGAACTCCGATCAATTATGCCGTTTATATAGCTACGAATATACTATTTAAGTGTTTTCATATAATAATTTTCATTATTTTCCTTAAAAATATTTATTAAATGTCTGTAATAATATTTTTTATTGTTCAGTTATCGTCCACGGGGTTACTATAATGTATTTAAATATTTTATATATTATATATTTATTGGAAGAATGCGCTTTTTGGGCCAATTCAAAAATTCGCCGATATTAAATTAATGTATGCGTTTTCACTCTTCTTATTAAACATTCAACATTCTAAATTATTTTGATTCAAAGAAATTATACGATGTATCTTCCATTTGATGGTTTGTAATTACCTTGACAGTTAAAATACTAAAAAAAATAACAACGTGGGTTGCTACATAAATTAAGGCTTCTACGTACATTTCAATGCCTATTTTAATAAACTATAATATAATATTCTCTAATTTGAACGGTCCAGTGAGAAATCACAAGAAGTACACGAAAAAAAATATTTTTCCACATATTATGCAAATTTTTATGGTAAGATTCAACAAAATACCGGTGTGATACAAATAACACAATAAATTTCATAAAAACATAAACTTAGTTTCAGTAAATAGCAATAATTACTTGTACTACCTATATAATGAATACAGTTTCGTAGCGAGGACTTTTAATATGGCTATAATATATTATTATTTCATTCGTGGCAGAAAATGATTATGAATTGATGCACTTTAAGGCACGAAGTATACAAATATGAAACATTTAGATTCATTGAAGACGACTTCCTAACTAACCGATATTTTTTGATTTTCAATTATTTCAATACGGTTTACGTTTTGAGAATAACATTCGAACACGACTACGCTTTTAGACGTATGCACGTGTGTGTGTCGGTTTCTAACTATGATAAGCGTATTATAAACGATTTTCTATTTTTGCTATATATTATAGAATCCGATTGTTATTAAATAATAACATGATAACTACAAGCTGCAGTACACTCATAATACACAATATATTATAATCATCGATGAAGCTATTGAATTCTTATCAAAAATGGGTCATGTATATATTATGTTTAAGAAAATCGTGTTTATTATTTATAATCCTAATATTATAATAACATTATAATATACTGTACAATAATGACATGTTCATTCGGGTGGTGCGCACTCGCATTGCAGCTGCTGCAGTCGACTAAATCGAGTCACCTCCGCCTGCTCTCCGCGACCCCACATCCTGCACGTCACTCACTCGCCACTCCTACAGCTATAGCTAGTTTCTTTAAAACTAAAATTATGCTTTTACTACGCTACTCCTGCGCAGGAAATTAAAAATACGACGACTACTATAACACGCGTTCTACGTATAATATGACACTGCAGTACACACGCACGGAAGGTCATCAACCATGGTGTTATACAATAATATTATTATTTACATTTTCCGACGAACCGGTAAAAATAAATAAGTAAACAAACGATAATAACTGAATATTTATATCGATTTGGCTACGTATCCGTCTATTCATACTTTATGCATTACCTAATATGCATATAATTCAATTATGCAATGTATGCGAATTCGATTTATCGCAAAAAGACGGGTGCCGGTTAATTGCTCATCGACCATCGTAACCCTCGTTCAATAATTATTGTATTGTTATTGGCATAGGGTCGATGCGTGTTACAGCAATAGCATTATTATTATTATGTTATAAATTATAATTCAAAGGTACCTAATTGCACCAATATCTAATTCAATTTACGTAATCATCAATATTGTAATAATTAGTTAGTCGTTACTATCAATACTAATGAATATTATATTATTTAGATCTAACGCTCGTGTTTTGTTTAGCGTTCAATTCTCAACGTTTTGTTTCAGAAATATCAGAAGTGATAACTGAAATATTGCCAAAGGTCTAAATACTAGTAGGTCAATAGTTTGATGGTTTAATGAATTCATTGATTACTGATAAGTGATGATGTGCTCAATAATATACCGTGTATAATATAGGCATGATATTATTTATATTATAATAATATTATATGTTGGTTTGTTTTTTTGAATTTGCTTGATAATAGGTACATTGATACAATGACGTTATTCGGAAATTCTATAGTATATATTCACAATCCTATACAGCCAATATAAATTATAATTTGTGAACATTAAAATTATTTTTTTCATTCGTCCTAATCATTTAAAGTCGTTCGACGATTGATAAACTCTTTTTTTTTAAACAACCAAAGCGGCAAAGAGCATGAATGATTTTAATGTTGTTTTTTCCGAATAATATAATATTCTTAATTATATTTTGAGATATGACCCAATATACTTACATATGTATCATTATAATAATATCATAACATCATTAATAATTATTTCTATATTGTATTAGAGCAGGCGCGTTTTATCGTTTTTAATAGGAAATTTGTTCATGTGTACGTCTTGCATCATTATAATATGACGTTATTAGTGTAAACTAATTAATAATTTCATACAGAGTATTGAATGAATAAAATATTATTTTCGAAATCGCATATTAGGTGAAGTTATAAAAATCTGTTCGATTCCTACAATAATTTTAACCAATATTTGAAAATATTATTGGGTAAAGTTCAATTTTTAAATTAGTTTATTTTTAACTGTCGTAATCCGTTTCACCGGCGTGCTCGAAACTTATGATAATTAAGACGCATGATTTGTGTTGTAATACTATATTGAGTGAAGCACCCTAATGGCATACCAATATAGGTTAACATCAGTGCAGGGACAAAGTGTGGGGAGTGAGAATGTACATTCCTAAGGGGTAACATTCTGAAGAAGAGTGTCATCTAATGCGACGGGTGCACGGGAATGGAAAACTTAAATAATTACGACTGGGTTAAATGTTTACAGATTTTTGTTTATTTTATGAAGGGGATGTCAATCACAACGTAGGGGTCTTAGTTTTGACCATATTGTTGAACAGTATCTCCGATTTTATATTCTAACGTCGGCTCTTTTTTTATCCATTCCAAACAGCACAAATCTACCACTAGCTGGTTCCTAAATCGCTTCAAAAATATGCAGGTGAAAATGTGAAAAAATATATTGCGAACCTGCTAAGCTCAGTATAATATTTTTCCTGCAATTAATCTGATTCAACAGTGGAATTTAGTTGAAAAAAATTCGTAGGTATGTATAGGTAACTTAGATTTCTGTATAAAATGGCTAGCTACGATATTACGGTGGTTCTGTCCATGTTTTTAGTGGACAATTGCAATAGTTTCTATACGATAAAAATACACTAAGACTTCAACACGACCGCAGTTTTATATATTCAGCAGATATTCGAGCATCGATTGTGACAATAGGTCCATCTGTAAAAACGTATATTTAATTACTCTCATTTTATGGCTCTACCTCTAAAAACAATTTTATAGACGAACCAAGACATCTGATAACTATACATTAGCATAATATAAATAGTATATTATACGAACGTATAATACATTTTTGCAAAATGTATCATTACAATCTTGCCAATCATAATTATTAGATGCGTCTATACAACTATATTACTATTCACAATAATATAATATTATAATTATTTATGGTTATTGGCAGGCAATGAGCAACCTTTTTTTCAAATAAACTGTACAGATATAATACAAAGCTAGGGTACAATTATAAAAAGATCCGTTGAAATTATTAAAGTTACAGTCTTACGTTTATCAACGCACTGATTAAATTCTGTACGCACATCACATGTGTAGCGTCGTAGTAATAAGTACGACTCATAATACGAGTAGGTACACGTGAACACCATAATGTCTTTTGGGTCTCGGATAGTCGGATGCGCGATATCGTTTGAAGTAAGTATTCTTAAAAAAATTTTTAATTCTTACGAGTCACGAGACACGCGTGGGGGGGGGGAGAGACAATATTATTTCGACTCGATTCTGTGGTCTATATATAGTACACACAAACATAAGGTTCGTTAAATTTTAAAAGTTCGTAGTGTTATGAGCATGTAGACGGCATATTATAATGTAAATTAACGGCCTTAGGCCAATTCTATACTTTACATACACGCACATGCACACGCACACACACACACGTGCGGAAGAATCACAATATCGTAAAAGTTTTTTCCCCTTATATTCCGCGTGCTCCGTTTCCTGTAGCAGACTATTATATATTATTATTATATCTACCGTCTCTGAGATCTATACGGCAGCTCACAAGTGTTTAACGCGTGTTGTACAATATTATTTTTACCACATTGATGGACGTGGCGCATATAAAATAAAATCTTCTGCTCCGGCCTATATTGTGCCATGCGCGCGTACATACCATCCATTATTATCTAAACATAGCAATATATATAAAATATAAACGGCCCTATATCGCTTGTATAGGTGGTAGTTTGCACTCGTCCGTCGAACTCGCAACGAAGTATAGAAATAGATTGTTTTTCGGCGAGATTTTTTGTTTCTCGACAAGTCCCGAATCGACACAATCCACGGCGAGCACTGCTAATATACCCTCCTCGACGGTCACTGCAACCGACGCAGTACACACGACCGCAACGTTACGCCGCAACAACTGCAATTTTATAATATTGATACACAGGTTGCAGGTCACCCATAATCCATAATAATTTAATATACCGTACGTTAAAATAACGCATGATTTAAAAAGTTTGTCGCGATGATCACTGCCGCCACCGTAGGATTTATCGTCGGATTTTTATTGAAGACCTCGGTCGCGGCCCAACTGCAGAACGTCTCGTTTCTGAACGGACTTCCGGAAAACTTCACGTCGGATGGCGCCATCGACGTGCAGTACACGTCTTGCAAAGTCATCACCGACCGTATCGTCGCCACCGCCGAGGGAAAGTTTTCCCGTTTTTGTCACGGAATTTGCAACATAAGTATGATATATGAGCATCCACAATTGTTACCATACTGCACAATACACGTCGAGACCGATTCATTATTGTATTATAGCTTATATTTATTTTTATAATACGATTTATTTACGAGAAAGTCGAGACAAAAATACGGCTATTATTATTATTTTACCTTATCTGCTAAAATAACATTCACTATATATACTTCGCAACATTACTGCAGCCTGCAGGGTTAAAACGTAGCGAAAAATAACATTATATGGGTAGGTATCATATTATTGTAGAAGCTGAGCACGTATAATTAAAATAGTAATTACTGTAATCTAACCGTCGAGCGATGTTTGACGTTGAAGATAATGAAAATAAACGTACGGATATTTTTCTCGCGTCAGCTCAATCTGTGTTTTATATAGTATAAAAAACGATTCTCTTACTTGTAGTCTAAACACTCAAAACTGTATTTAAATACATTTAATTATTCTCTTTCGACATTCAACGGAAAACATATAATGTGTGGTTAATTTAATTTTAAAAAGTAAGTTCCTCTACCACATTACATATCTACCTAATATTGTACTTTAAAATGCAGGCTGACCTTCACTTGAAAAATGTTCTATTTGATTAGTTTATTAATATTCTTTTATATTTAATAGCATAAAAACAGTTTTATATTTTTAATAGTATGTGTAGCTCAACAATTGTTTCGCAATTTGTTATAGCTTTTAATTGTATATGTACTTTTATATAGATTTATTTTATGTGAAAATAAGTACGATGAAAGTTTTTGCGTGCGCCGTAATAATTATAATACATATTATAGGAATACTGTAACATAACATTTGTAACTAACGATTAAAGTTTATTGCTGATAGATGTATTATTATTTCAATTATAATTTTCAGACGAGACAAACGCAAGGCTGCACCGCATCGAAACGTTGTTAACAGCAGATGCGGAAAATATAAAACAACGATTGTTTTATATGGAACGTATTTTGTCGAAAGGACAAATCATAAGGTGCATTAAAGAGTATTAAACATAAAAAAAAATACAATGATGTAAAGGTACAATTATTTGTCATATTGTATAAGTCTTTAAGAAGGCGGCCGACAGTATTGAAAAATAGTCTCTCTCTCATCATGTCGACGTAAACTAATAATATTGAATTATAATTTAAAAAATCTATGTTATATAAACTACAAACTCGTATTTTTACCAGCAACACACGACATCAATTTTTTCCATTGTTTTTTATGCATTTGTACAGCCCTTTTTTTTCAATATGATAATTAGGAGTCACTGTATCGGTTTAATTGTTCAATGCATGTTTAGAGATGTTAAATATACTCATAAAAAAAATATAGTAAATTTACTAAAAAATTGGTAGTAATCTTTTTGAACATCAAATAATAATTTTTTTTTATCATCCATAATTTTAATTTTAATTTTTATTAAATATTTGAGGCCATATAATGCTCCCTTATGGCTTTCCTTACCAAACCATGGGGGGGGGGGGGAGATTTTACGCATACACCCAATCTAATAACATACTATATAATTTCAGTAAAACCGGTGACAGTGACGCGGTGGACACCGGGAGACTCCGGGAGATCGGCACGTACAACGGTACAGTGTCCAGCACCGAGGATGGCTCCACAGCCGCCGGTGGTCGGCCACGGGTCCCGACCACCACGTTTGTCTACTACTGGCGTGTTGACGCGTTCTGGCGGCTGTCGTTCACCACGGACGGCCTGGCCCGCAGTCCGCCGTTTTACGTGTCGCCCCGCAGCTACCGGATTTCACTGACCGTCCACTCAGACGTGAAGGCCCGAATCGTCCGCGTGGCCGCCGTTTCGGCAGCTGGTGAGTACGACGCTCAGCTCAGGTGGCCGTTCACGCACCGGCTCCGGCTCAGCGTGCTCGACCAGACAGACGTCGGGCCCGAGGACATCGTGTCCCGCGTCTGGGACGACGTCCGGTGCGGCGCCGTACCACCACCGACGCCGCCGACGCAGCACCAGAATCCTCAGAACTACCGCCAGAACCAGCTGGCCACGGAAGTTTTCTGCGCGTCTATGGAGTTCCGGCATGACGTGCTGACCTACAGGCGTTACGCGGCCAATGACGCGCTCGTCGTCAAGCTGACGGTGTTCTTGCAGTAGTAGTCGTGGAAGTCTGATTTGTACGATTCGTGTTACACCCCCTAGCTCCCCACAGCCATCATAACTTTTTTCCGTTTAATTTTTTTCGACTTCGATCGGCTTGACAGTTTCACACTACAGATACTTTTTTTTTCGATTTTGCAGTTTATGCACCTTATTATATTATTCATCAATATTATACCCTTTTTATTCGCGTAGGTAGCTATATTATATCCTTTATTGCGCCTACATTATAGCACGCATCGACTCAATCGAAGTGCTCATATAGCTACAGCGCTGTATAGGAAAAGTTTGATCTTCCCACCTAGTTTTAGGATTCTAATATTACATTTCTTTATTTCTGATTACTGCTATACCTACTGCATGGTTTAATAATTCGATTCAATTATACTTTCTACTCATTGTTGTCAGTTATTATATCATTATCATATGAAAATAAAATTACGATCAAACACTCATGGTCGGCCCATATTTTGAGCGACCCACTGAGATTTTCTCGGTTGCTCGACTGCACAATCCGGGCTTGCACAACTAGGAAGTTGTATCGTGTAGTGTGCTTTTTATGGTATTCTGATTGGCAGTTACAATCGTGGTGTAATTTACTAACCACATGATCTATCGGGAACTTTCCACAGTTGGGCCAAGCTCGACCATATTGGACACGTCATGACCGCAGACCAGATCCAGGCCGAGCAATAGTGGCAAGATGATAATTTTGTGACCTTATTCTCAAAAATGTATCAAATGTCGGGCTCCTCCAATCATTCGATATATGTTGTGTCCCTGGTAGGTTCCACCTTGCTAGGCCCTTGTCCAGCTCTACTGCAGACTTTCACTTCGGTTCGTCAAATAAATTGGTTATTTCCCAATATACCTACGGCTCACCGCAGTTTCGTGTACTACCTAACTATAAGTACGTACCTACATGTATTGCGTGCGATCTAAGTGGTCTGTGATCCACTAATAATAGTAGGCTATACCTATCCTGGGTATCCGAGCATCATTATAATTATCGTATAATTTATTATTTTAAACCACTTACAAGTTACAACCACCTACCCTACCGACATTTTATCTTTAAACATCTCAGTGATACACATTTAGTCTTGACATTTCCTGTAGTGTTATTATATTATATTTGTGTAGTTAGGTAACAATAGACTAGTTAGTCTAGTGTTGTTTGTGGTGTACCTATTATTGAGAGTTACTCTGACTATAGTACCTATTATAGAATGTAAACTATATTTCCATAAACTTTTTAAAACGCTTGTAAACAATAATATGTTAAGTATACTATTTCTTAACCGAAGAATCTATAGGTACATTAAACAGTTATATATTATAATTATATTCATTTTTTTAACAATAAAATCATAATAGTGTCGTCTTCGTGGCAAACTCTCTTAAGTAATTGTTATCAAATTGTATAGAAGAATCGAAAAATCGTGGTAGGCTAAAATATTTAAATAATATTTACGTGTGTAATAAATATTACGTTTGTTGATCGAGATACGAGGTTTCATATTTTGTATTTTATCATATGAAAAACTGTCAAATGATACTATACTGTCATAATATCAAAATGTGTAAAAAAACACCTAGTGTATCAACTTAAAAAAAAATGTTTATTTTTTGACTTCCGAGGTTTTGTCGCTATAAGTCGATGATAATATACTTTAAATTATTTTATTTTTACTTTAATAATCATTTATTTTACGTAAAATCACTTATAAGCTTTTAAAATGTATATTATATTATACCATATATTACCCATACTTTTATTATGATAACGGTAGACTGAATATTGGGAGATAGCCAATTAATAAACACTACAACACGTATATAGTAATATACTAATATGGTATACATTAAGTATATATTATATTTGTACGATCACAGAAATTAGTAAATATTATACTACACGTTCTATGGCGGTACGATTTCTATATGCGTCCACACGAAACGCCCAGTAGAATGTACTGCTATACACTCACCAGAATTGTTTAGAAAAAAGTGACTCTTTAATCTTTATTGACTTTCTTATTGTAGTGTATTAAATAGAAGACTACCCACGATTTCGGGCCATGTAATATTATAATAATTATCAAGGGCTTTTTAAAAAAATTTTTTTTCGGTTCACAACCTGCTATCATACATGTATTACTTATTATTATTGCAATAAAAAAAAACAATGTTATTATCTACAAACATTTTGCATTTTCGCATGGACTATATCTAATTTAGTGTCTATTACATTCAGAGTTTCTTGTATTTCATTATAATATGCGTCTTGAACGATCATTATATTTTGTTTTTACTAATTCCTATTTTCGATACGGGGGCTAGAAGTCTTCTGTAGAAGAAAATCGAGGAATAAAGCACGTACTCACCGTTGTATTTGACATACATAATATACTTCGGGACGAATCTTGATACAATAAATAAGGCACGAACCAGCCCTTATTTAAGATCGCTGCCGGGCAAATTGAGCGCGTTGGACACGGAGTTGACATTTCCATCTAATGATTGTGACATTTAGACTATTCCGTAACTGCTGATGTTCTATACTGTATTTACATTGATGTACCAATATCAATATAATATTATATAAGACTATAATATTAATGAATTGACTTGACGGCACAGTTATAATATAGAAAAACAAAAAAATAAAAAAAACATATATTAATACAAAACATCCAGATAATTTTCACCAAAGCTTCAAATTACTTACAACTTATTGGTGTACATTTTAATGAATTAAAAATATATTACATTTATTAAAATTATTTTTTTGTTGCATACCAACGCATTTTTTTTTTTTTTGGAAAACCTCGACAATATCTATCCGACTACCTTTAAAGTTTAATTTAAACAAATTTCTGGAGGGTATAACGTAGCCAAGAGATATATTTTCCTGTAAGTATATTCTTATTTCCGAGGCCTCTCTCTGTAGCTGCATTGTTACCAATATAGTTCTGATTATCCACCCTTCAACGCTATTAAATGCGAGTACATTTGTTTGTGGTGAATACGATACCACTTAGCAAACTATCTATACTTTACACAGTACACACTCGTTTAATAAAATAGCTTTTATAAGTAATACTCATAATATTTGAGTGCTTTTAAAAGACCATCGGAAAACATTGACGGGGAACCGCTCTATTGTGTACAAGCAATAGTATAACAATGTTATCATGCAAATGTGAAGTTCAGGCTTTTATATTTAGGGCGTTGAAAAGCTACAATAAACGCTGATTGCCCCTATTACACTAATGCTCTTGATTTCTAAATGATTTTTGGTGAGTGACTCAGAGGTGAACACCATTGATTATAAATGCTATAAAAATATATAAGCCTCGATAATTATACACCGAAAAGTGCAAATATGGTGTATTTAGTTATTTAATTATTTTTTATAAATTTGTTTAATTTTATTTCATTTTGTGACATGTAGTGGTTATAGTATACCATCCTAACTGGAAAGTTCAAATGCAGTTTGGTTAATGGTAAAAATGCCAAGTATACCTAATTAATATGAATAATGTTTGTCATTTTAACTTAACTTTACATTTCTCATTGTGATACCTACGACCCAATTGAACATGAACGTAATATTTTGGCTTTTGGGGTAGGTCATTTACCAGGTCTCCTCCCTTACATAATATCCAAGGTAAAAATATCCAATGGATTAAATAACCAATGTATAGGAAAAAATATCAAAGTAAAAAAAAAATGTTGAAAGAATGTTTAAAAATAATAAGAAAAAAAATACATAATTCTTTAATTAGATATACATTGTTTATTTTTAAATCACAGTTTAAAAACGTTTAATAATATAGCAATAAAATAATAATGATAATATCGTCAGACTAATTCGTAAAAGTTCCATCTTTATATTAAGTAGTTTTTACTTTTCAGGAGAGACTAAAAATCGTCAGCCTTCTTTTGTTGCGTACAGAGTTTCATAAATTATTAATTATAACTTCAGTCAGTGTTACAATAATCATAGTGACATGTGTCAATTATTTAATGTTAAATAGATGTAATCAGTTGCAATTATAAATAAAAATATTTTTATTATGAACCATTTTTTTTTTCAAAAAATATTATTATATAACGTGTTAATAGTTGTATAGGACAAAAACTGTTTGAAAAGGAGGTAATAAACTAAAGTATATATATATTTTAGTAAAATATCAAAAAAATATCGTTTAAAAAAAAAAATTTAAAAAAATGTAATGAAAAAACTGTACGCTAATAACCATTGCCGTTGAAGCATTTTGTTCAATAAAAAAAAAACTAACGTATCATATTTGGTATATTGTAATTAAAAAAAATATCTAATTTTTAAAATATCTAATCAAAAAAATAATGTAATTTCTATTAATATTCTTTTTTTAAATTTTTTTTACTTGGATATTTTGCGCTGTACATTGGTAATCTTGTCCCTGGATATTTTATCCATTGGATATTTTGACTTTGATATTTTAGTACAGGATGTTTTGTCCTAATACCAATATTAAAATACCTACAACCTACATATTATTATAACCTATATATTTTATGGTGTAAGTACGACACTGTGATAATGCTCTCGAGTGTACACAAGCACATACACACAAATATATTTTAACTATGCACACCGAGTATGTAGATGTAACTACTACGCAGTGGCAGTAAAGAATACCACACACGTGGCAAGGGACTGTTCTTTTTTCCATCGAGTGTAAACCTAATCTTAAGGTTAGCAAGCAATAAGCATTGAATGAAAACCACTGAGTTCTGTAATAAGTAATAACATTCGTGCTGCTATTTATTTAGGTATAATATTATAATGCTTATTGCTTGCCATACATAGGTAGGTACCATAAGCAGTGGCGTACCAATAGGGTGGCATGACGGGCAAGTGCCACGGGCCCAGGGCCCCAGAATGCCGGGAAGGGCTCTTCAAAAAATGTGGCAATTTAAATAAAACAGATTACCGTTATTATAGAATTTTAGTTATTAATAAGTTCTAGTAAAATTAAATCACTTTAAAGTAAAATAAATGTAATAACTAGAAAAATAACGGATACACGCAACATACGCTTATAAGTCTAGGATACTGTATTGAAGTCTCAGAAGTCTGTTGATTTCTCGATTCGTTATTAATTATCATATTATATACTATACAGTCTATTATACTGCCCAGCTGAAAATTGAAATAGCCGTCGTTTTTCGTTATTATTTTGTCATTAGTTATTCTGTCATCAGTTGTGAGTCATCGTCACTCGTTGAACCAAATAATTAATATTGTGATCATGTCGAAAAAAAGTACCTAGCGGCTATGAAAAGCGTAAAAAAAATGGAAGAACAAGAAAAAGTATCAAAACTGCCTAAAATAAGTGGTTATTTATAATATTTAAAAAAATAAGACTCTTATTATAACGTGTAACAAAAAATGACCATATTATTCATAATAGTATAATAAATATGCTTTTAATTATTTATTACCTTTTATAGCAGGGGTAGGTCTAGGTATAAATTGTGTGAGTAAGTGCATGCTCTTATATTACAAATTTGTAAGACCAAGGCCTAAGGGCCCGCTGGATTTTTTTGCCACGGGCAATCAAAGTTTTAGTTACGCCACTGACCATAAGTAAGTACCTACATGCTGTCATTCACTATTTGCACAGCGCGTTTGGCGTAGTTACTTATTTCGTGTACCTAATAATATGTGTGAAATTCATTATACCGTTTTATAAATAAAGTTAGTAGTTGTATTATCACATACTACATTATCATATACCTACGTTGATTTAATATTTTGATATGTTTTGAATTAATTACGAATAGGAAATTTTTGATTTTTCTTTGTTCAGTTAATTCTTTATATATGTCAATAAAGCAAATGTATGAATTAGTCAAAAATAGTAATAACATTTGAAAATGTTATTTCGAAAGTTGTATAATATACTGAAATTAAAAAAAGTTGATCGTAAATCTGCAATGATTTTTATGAGCGTTTCAACATTTGAAGTTCGATTTTGACAATATTTTGTCAATTATTTTGTGGTCAAAAGCTCATATCTTCAAGGTTTGAAAATATAATTTCAAAATTTTAAACTTATATGATAATTATAAAAATATCATTAAGTTCAATTCCACAAATATTTTTTATTATTCCCTCCGAAAATGACTTTTTGTCATAAACGATTTTACCTTTTTTTAATTGTAGCTGAAAAACTATTAACTGTAGAAACTTGAAACAATCGATTACTTTAATTATAATTGTATGTACTCAATAATGAAATTTGTAAAATATTTAGACTAATTTTAATTTTGAGACATTTGAGGTTTTCGAAAATTTTCGTTTTTTTGTGTTAGTAAATAATTTTAGGTTTACAAAATGTAATACAAGATTCCTCTTAAGTTGATTATTTAAAAAACATAATATGCATAGTAAGTTATAGTTTTTTTTTTATACATGGTCAATGTTCTAATATTATCAAAATTTTAAACTTATCACTCTTTAAACATGCTATTATTTGTTGTACAGTGTACACAATGATATTTTTAACATGTTGGTACTATCTTTTAGCTATTTACAATTAGATATACCATGAACCTGTTTCTGCAATAATTAGTTCAACCTTCAGAATTAAGAAATTACTAATAATAATATAAATATAGTGTAATATATACTATCCTATAAATGATCTTGAAGCTTGTTGTACAGCTGAGGTGAGTTCTTGTTTTTGTATAACCTATATAGTAATAATAATTATATTTTTTATTTATTTTACAAGTCTTTTATAATATTATTATATAAGTTACTATGAAAGGTTTACAGTTTTCACTGATACCTTTTATAATTTTATGAATATCTAATGATATACACCAAGAATTAATATAATCACTTCTCCAACACAGCAACATGTTAACAAAATATAAGCATATTAATAATAATATTAATATTTACCCTCAAATTAAGCCTTTGATCCTTGACGAAATGTTAGCTTACATGAATTATCGGCGTATATACTTGTATTTTTTGTCAATAATTAATAAGACCAGCTGAGATTCCTTTCCACTCTAAATCATGCAATATATATATATGTATATAATATATAACATAATAGTACTTGCGCAACCCTTAACTAAAATGCGTCTCAATGCTATCATACCTAGCTATTTTATTATTTAGCCATGCCTAATATAATGTCAAAATTACTGATAACAGACATTTTATATCTTATTGAGAGATTATTTTTGTGTTTCAAACACATACAATAATGAAGGGAAATCTGTTTCATGAAATATACCTATACATATGGACCAAACGTATGAGACAGCTATTATTATTGTTAACATGAGGTAACTATGTAAAATGTGCAATTCCATTCCAGCATCTCCAATTTTAGTCGTATAAAAATATAAAATGTATTATATATATTGGAGGTATTAACAATAAACGCATTTGGTCTTAATTTCTGGTAACAAGTAACAATAATACAGTTTAATTAATACATATATAGTTACACAATACACAATACACATATTATACACCTACTATAATAGCACTATATTTATTATTTACGAGGTACCTACAGGTACTCTACAGGTTGGAATTGAAGAAATTTGCATGGCGTGTTAACTCATACCCTGTGCGTGAGTGTGAACATTTAAGTCCGTTTTATAATTAAGTAACTGGCACTATCCAGATAGATACCTAGACAGTATAAACACTTACTTATATTATGTGTTAAACACGATAATAATGTATTTGAGTTAACTTTGAAGAATTATTCATTACAAGTTTACCTACAACATATTACTATTTATTATGACTTATATAGTTAAGTATTATATTATAAGCCAAGGTAAAAATACAAATACCAGTAAAACCTAGGATTTAACGGGAAAATCTTAGGTTTCACCGACTACTGTTGGTTAATTTTTGAATTTTGGACATTAAAAGATTAATTTCGGTAAAACCTAGAATCCACAAAATAATTTGGTCAAATCCCAACTGATTTTCTAGTTTGGACTTTAAGAAACGAGATTTGTTAAATATTAAAATAAACAGTCAGTGTTGGTAAAATTCTGAATATTTTTACCATGTATAATTAAAATATTATACGTTGACTTAAAAAATAAAAGTAACTATTATAATAGGTATTAGGTAGGTACTTACTAAACATTTGCTACTAATAGTATAATAGATACATGAGTATAATATGTTTTATTATTTGTATAATATAACTTATGGAAATATTTTTGAACTATAAAAGAAAATAAATAAAAAGTGGTTGGAACATACTTGATGGTTTTATCGTATTAAAAAAATATATATATAATAAATTAATAATTAGCAGATTTATAGAAGAAAATAAATTTTAAGATTATTTTTGTCAATTACAATTTACAACACTTGTCGATGAATAAAACTCTGTTGTTTATTAAACTATTAAACATACGGGTACCTTTAATTGTAATCATGTAAATTAAACTAAACATTTTAAAAAAATCAACACAAAACGTTTATGTTTTGCTCTGTCTTATTTACTAACGATAGTAACATTAAACTTTTTAACGTAAAATGTTTAATGTTGCGTATATTATTATAGTATACTAGCTGCCCGACCTTCCTCCGGAAGAAATTATTTTTTTGTAATTTAATTTAAAAACATAAGACTATTTTTTGGCTGTACAAATAATACAACGATTATAAAATAAAAAAATAAAAATAAAGAAACAGACACCGTTATCGGTGAATACATGAAAATTATTGGTAATTAGTTGATTATTATTATAATGAGGGTTCAAACCCGGTTTACTTCGTCTCCAAAATCAAGTTAGATTCTTATATATATAGATAAAGCCGGCGACACATACTTGTAATGTTACAGGCTACAGCAGAACTGTAATGCGCAAGTGTGTACGGTGTACGGCGTGAGACGGATTAAACCTCTATTAATTTGGTTACGGGTGCTGGATGTATTCAGTATTCAAACACCGGAATAAATGTAAACAAACGAAACTGGAAAAAAATTTTTAAAAATGATTTATTTTGAATGAACAAAATTTATTTTAGACAAAACTCTGTTTATTAGTGTACAGTAGTTGTATTTTTCTAAGAAACTACAAAAACTAAGTCGGCGTATAAGGTTAATTTATTAGGCCACATAGAAATAAAATAAATTATGATTTCGAGATTTCTCGATTTTCGGAGAATTAGTAAATATAGCCACGAATTTACGTTGGCAAATAATACTAGGTATTATTACTTATTACTTATAAGTATTAATTGGTCATGACAGTCAATACGTTGTTCAGTTTTGTCGAGACCACGTCTATATTTTACATTTCTATTGGCTACATTTGGATTCATTTTGTTTATAAATAAGGTAAGAAATTATATACATATTGTAAGAAATAATTTAGTTGTGGTTTAATCAGAATCAATTATTAATGATTTTATTGGATTTTATTTTAAAGAAAATTTTATTGAATTTACTTATATAGGCTATAATTGATTGTAACATTCTTTTTTTACCAACTACAAAATCGAACTAACCGCTATAAACACATACACGATTATAAATTATCACATGAAGATTGTAAGAGACAAAATTTTCGGGTTTCAAGTTAACCGATTCTTATGGGTGTTAGATGTCAATCTTAATTTTAGTGCAGGGCCCTGCTTTGGCCTTTTTTGTTGATATTTTAATATTTTAATTTACTATCAATAATTTTTTAATGTTTATAACTGGCTTTATAGTTAAAATATATTAATTATTTAAATTCTATATGGGGTTCCCAAATAATATCCTCACCTTTAAATTTTATCATAACCCATAGGTCTACTCACACTAATATTAAAAAACAAGTGAGTAAAATAAATTCTTTGTAACTTATAATTTGCTACGTTACGCGTTAATAAGACAGAGACAACTTCTACGACGTCTTCTTATAAGCTACATATTATACAAAACTAAAAATAACTTATAACTTATAACTTTCCGCATAAACTATTACTTTAAATTAACGTTTTTAAAACATATTTTACCCAAGTTCGTATGCATACTTGACGCTGAGTCGACAGCAGCTTCTTTAGTGAGCATTAAATTCACATCCCCGATTATAACACAACATTATTTTTAGTTTTTACTGTTCATAATGATTTGGGCCCACCACTAGCCGGCTGGGGAGCCAGAATAGTGGGAAGTCACTCCGGTGACCGGGTTGACCTACCGACGTCAACTTAAAACCTAGTCGGTGCCACGGGAGAGGGGAGCCCCATCGCACGCTGCACGGTCCGCCGTCAGAAGCGATGCCACCTCAAGGTTGAGGAGCCTAACTCGGCTGAAACGTGGTGGTTGTGGGACCAGCGCTCGATAGTAGAACAGCAAACCACTGCACCTAGTGGGAGGTCTGGTACCCAGGTGGCACTTAACTGAGTCATCCCGGACCTCAAGAAAGGTACGGGCCCTCGGGCCCGGTGCCGGTGTTCCACAGAAGACCCTAGCCCGGCGGCGCTTGCGTCGCCGCACTAGCTCCACCCTCGCCCGTAAGTAGCGCTCAGCGCTAAGGCACGGACGAGTGGCGGTAGGCGAGAGCCAAAAACCCGGAGACTCCTGTTCATAATGATTGGCAATATTTACATCGATTAAAAAAGTTATCACTGTATAAATTGTATAAACGCATTTTTTACAAATCGTTATTTGTTTGTTAAGTTTCGTTTGGTTCAAGTGCGGTGTTCATGGTCACTGTGGCGAGGTCGTCAGTGTTATGTTATTATAATATGCGTATGTGGACACTTGATTGCGAGTGTCGCTCAACAAGTTGGTAGGTAGGTATAAGTGTACACCACTGTAGCGTCATATCAGTTGGTCGATTTTGCCGTTTGGAAACCATGAGTTTTTCGACAGTCAATATTATATTGCAGGGATGTGCAATTCGAATTTTGAATAACGAAACGCACGCGGCATCGGGTCCTAACGACATTTTCAATACGACGTCATTGAGATACAGCACATTATTATCGCAAGAACGACACGATAATAAAAATGTATTATTATTATTACAACCCAGTGGTGGGACATTCGTGGTATATATCTCGCGCCGCAGGGCCGGCGACACTGCGCGCCGCAGCTTCGCGCGGGAAAATCGATTATTTTCTCCGTCCTACCCGGGGCGGGCGCGATAAACGGTCCGGCGGCGGCGGCAGCGCTCTCGCACGACGATAGTGGTGGCGACCGGCACACCACGACCGACGGACACACGGCGAATATGATAATATCGTCGTTATAATATTACGTGGAAACGCTTTTCGCCGCCGAAGAAAACGAAGAAATCGACACGCACGTTGGCTTTGAGATCGCACCGGATGTAAGTGTAAGTACAATAATATTGTAACGTATAATAAAATGTATAGAGCTGGTTTAATAATATCAATATAGTATTTTAAAATTAAGCGCACATCTATTATAATAGCAGGAAGGGACGGCATCGATCGCGAATTTATTCTCTGCGGAAACAGTTTCCGAAACGCTCGGGGATAATAACAATTTTATAATAGTAATATTCATATCATGACTTACTGATAAACGTAAACGACTAGTTCGAGGCCCGCAAATCCGCCGAAATCGTCTGATGCCCCGCGGAGGGTCGGCACCTGCAATATGACGGCGGTCGAATGTTCAAAGTTAGTAATATCACTTTCAATCAAACAATATTCTATCATCGTCTCAGGGAAAATTGTCAATTTCAACGTCGTACCACGTAATTATAGCGGGAATATCGAAACTGTCCGTTTTTCATTCTTTTGGCAGTCGAATTTTATCTAATTTTATAAGGAATAACATAAAAATATTGTTTTTTATGTCCGATCCAATGACCGTTGTTGAGAATAGTATCTATTATCCGCTAAGGTGTTTTCAATAAGTCTATAATACACGTACGGGCACCATTTATATCGTACGCTCACATCTTAGGATTTTTTTACTGTAGCTCTACTGCCACATATTATATTCATATTATCATATAATATTAAAATTATAGTTTCCCTGTTTCGTAAGAATCTGAAATGGCCTAATTAGATTACATTTTCCATAAAGTATATATTTTTGAATAGTGTTTTACTTATTGGAGTTTTGAAGTTTTGAAACATGGTTTTTGTGTATGATACATACACATATCTGTCATTCGACGTCGATTAATCATCGCATTGCAGTAAAGTACGATATTGTTTTCGATTATTTTTTTTTTGTGTGGGAGGGATGAGCATTACCTGCATGTAGAACTCAGTGACAGACACCTCTACTCAACTGTAAACGGTGCGTATAGTTTTTGTTGCTGCTGAAATAAACATATATTACATACATTTTTTTATAAATCGAATGTAATATTTCATCCAATTAATTTCTATAAACAAGTGTTGTTTACGGTTGTCAGATATTTTATAGCAATTTAACAGTATGGGTTACACTTATTTATCGTTCATAGAGTTATACATCTTATATTTTCAAATAATTGGTTACCAAAATTGCTATTTTTGACAACCAAGTTCAGTTTTAATTTTTTGCTATATTATAAGCTTATGATGAAATAAATGTTTTTGCAGAATATATTGATCTTTAGTGAAGAATGCCACGTGTCAAAACAACGTGGTACTGAATTAAAAATTCAAATATTCATAGTGTGGGTTTGACCCATTCTTGGTGAGAAACGGAAGGAACGGGGACAATCCTGAAGACATTTTGGAGCACAATCATGTTGTTCTGCCAAAATCGTGAACAATAATTCCTATCAACGGAAACAAACCTGTAAGACCGAGTTGCCACTATCCATCCGCTATTGGTAGGTATATATAATATTGGTTCTGTGTGAGGGGGTTGTATTTTTTTTAATTGGCGTGATATTTTCAAATTGCGCACATCTATGTTTGTTTAACAATATTCTATTGCTTTTTTTGCGATTTTGATATCCATATTTTGAAAATATATTCCACGGTGTAGATTTCTTAATACGGCCAAAATATATATTATAATCGTACCAAATTGTTTTGTTCTATATTAATAGGTAACTAAAAATTGAATTGTTGTGTAGACATACCTATACTCCATAGGATATGTATAAACTGCGATCCTGAAATTTAAGTTATGTATCTAATTGTTGTTAATTATTTATTGAATTTGATTTAAGTGAGCTGTAGAGTGTACACGACTTTTATTCGATACCCACCGGTTTGTTTTTGTATTCACATCAAAGATTAAAAGATAATAATTATCATTTTATTGTATTCAATTTATAAATTTAAATATGTAATTCATATTTTCACGAAGATATTTTGGCTTTTAGAAGAATCTATGTTGTGTCTCAATAATAAACAATATCGTATAATATAAAGTAATATTATGTGTTATTATTACATACAATGCTCAAATGCAGGTAGTTTTAATATTGTTCTTTCCTCTGCACCACATCAATTTATTGATGTTATCGAGACTGGTCGTATTCCCACATCGATAATGCGCATAAATATTTTGCACAGCGTCGTCCGTACAAAAATTTGAAAAGGTCATCTTACTTCTTGCATGTAACGCAATATTGAAATTATTTAAAATCGAAGGCGTCAAACGAATACATAGAATAATAATATGTATGATGTCACTGTACGAATACTGTCCGAATTATAACGATGATGAGTTTATATATTATGCATTCATTCTAGCTCTATTTATAGTACACACAATTGCATAATATGTAAATATAATACAAGACTTTGTGAAATCTGCTGGTTTTCTGTGATATGGAATATTGGGGAAATAGCGATATAATGACATCTCACGCAGAGTTACTGCCGAATATATCATAATATTTTGTGCCTATATGCGTACGATTATCAATACGATAATAGCGATAACGAATTACATAATAATAATAAAGATATGTAGTAGACAAATAAACGCACGTCTAATCGAAAAATTATCATTTTGGTTTTAAATATCGTCGTAATCGTAATCGAAATCGTCAAATTTAACTTACTTATGATTACATATTCCAATTCATTTGATAACGTGTACCATTTATGTAAAGCATTTGTTTTTACATTTAACAGTAAAAACCAATATAATGCATTACAACACCATGCGTCTATTCCTTGGACAAACGTTTTCTTTCATAGTATAGTATTATTGTGTTTATTATTTGTTAAAATATTTTCATAAAAACGGATAACCTCAATAACATATTATTTATATGAAGAATTCACCGTAGACTGACGCCAGTTTAATATAATATATATAATATGTACATTACTCCATTATAGTAGGCGGTGAATGTATATTGTTTATAAAATAAATACCCTGCAAATAGCTTGACAAATAATCCAGGTCTTGAACAATTTCAATACCTAATAATTTCTACATTCATAAGGTTATTACGATAGGTATTTTGTTTAGTTTGTGCATGTGTAATTATTTTAGTTATTTTAATTTCCGTTTTTTAAAATGAAATGTTTCATTAAAAGAAAAAAAGCGCAACTCTATTAACAAACACGCATATATTAATTTCGACCACAACATATTTTATTAAGCTAAAATGTTGATAGCGTAAGCCGTTCGGTAATATACAACACACATTAATATGGTATATGTATCAGTTTAATTAGATTTTGTTTATTTCAGTGGCACGAATTGAATAAACAAGAAACATGAAACGGCAGAACGTGCGCACACTGTCCCTAGTAGTTTGCACATTCACATACTTGCTAGTAGGTGCAGCGGTATTCGATGCATTGGAATCGGAAACTGAGAGAAAAAGATGGAATCACCTTTTAGGTAAAAAACAGTTGTTTATGTACGAGTTTAAATTTAAAAATCACTTAATGGCTACAACATGATGTAAAACAAGCTGAACACAACAAAAAAACCGGAAAAGTCGCACTTTCAAAGTTTGTTTCAAGTATGCACATCATTGACTATTGAGTAGGTGTATAATATTATTGATTACAGAATTGAAACGATACATTTTAATTCAATGAAACATATAATAATGGCATACAAAAATCCATTCTATGCTTACAATGTGACAGCCTCTATTATACCTAATAACAATATTTTATTAATAATAATTTATATACAACTATTTAGTAATTATTTAACCATTTATATAATTATAATGAATTAATAATTTAAATTTTGCGAAAAACTTAGCATATAAATTATACATAATAGTGAAATGTTTCAAGCCATTAAAATTAATATTTTATATTCTGAGTAGAGCAACGAATGAATTGATTTTACAATGGTGTAGTTTCTTTTATCGGTTTTCATCTTTCGATGCAATAAAAAATTCCCTGTAATTTTCTTAATAACTAGAAATAATGAAAAAAAAATTTGGATAACTTGAATTTGTAACCAAAATCAGCTTTTGACGAAATCGATTTTAATTGTTGTTGTTATTATAAAATAAATAATCGTTTATATAAATCGTTATTATAAATTTCCACCAAATATTCATTTTAACTTTTACTTATTTTTGAGTGGAAATCAAAATGTTATACAAAGGTTTCTCCTAAGTTCTTACAGAAACTTAAAAAAAAAAAAAATCAAAATTGCATATGCACAATAATTTTTTTATAGTTTTTCAATTTCCAATTTCTTCAAAATCTAATATTTCAACTAAAAATAAAGATTTGTAGTTGTAATTAAAAAAAGTAATCTGTTGGAACTTGAAACTTTATATCACTTATATTATTATATTATTATTTATTTTATGCAATGAATTTTTCTAAATATTTTAAAATTATTTTTCTTCATTTTAAAGTTTTTTATACCACGAAAATATTGATGCAGTTCCATAACGTTACATTGCTATTACCAGCTGTAGTAATAGTGTAATACTAATGTATTAATACTTATATGAAAACAAATTTTTTTAGAAAGTAATAGTTGAGATTTGGTTTAGAAAAAACTTGCTCAATATTTGATACTACTAATATAGGAATACAAATTGCTAATAGGTAGAAATAAAAATAATCTTAAAAATATGCTTAAAATTATAGGCTGACAGGACGCCTCCGTTCATAATTGTTTTGATTATTATTTTGATCACTTAAACATTGAATTATCTTATCAAAACCAACATAAAAAGTATTAAAACACAGATAATTATGTTCTTAATGTTAAGTGTCATGACAGGTTGATTCACTTAAATTTTTTAGTTAAATATGAACTGCTGGTCGTAAAATTGGTATGTAAGACAAAGGCAACAAATGCGTCAGTAGTGTCCTCTTAAAAACGAAAAAGATTTCCAAATTAATACTAAACATAATTATGATAACAAAGACAAACGAATAACAATGGAAAAGATTTTCTCCAAATTCTATATTCAATTAAAATTTTTATTTATTTTTCATTAAAACTGTAATACGTAATTACATCTTTTGTTGTAGGCTATATCTGTAGACCAATTTGAAACGTTGTAAAATAAAAAAACCGTTAAAGTTTGCAAATACACGTTTAGACATTATAATCATTTCTAAAATGATGGTAGATAGGTATGTCATTCGTGTATTCAATAATCTTATTCATACGTTGAATACATTTGAATAATATAAATAATTATTATAGCCTATATAGGTTAGCTTATTTTTATTTTTAAAATAGTTTTATTTCTAATTCAAACTCTAACAGCCAGGTCAGTTACTTCTTCTTATAAATTAATGTTCAATTATTTATTTACTCGTGGACTGAACATCAATGCATTTATGTTATCACCCCTTGAATTACTGGACTATTTATCGTTGGATTGTGATTACTACCAAACAGAGATGAATTTAAAGTCAATCTTCAATATACTGTATAAATGTGTGTAGGTACATTATTAATTATTATGATACTAACATAACATTCATGATATCTTGTTGGTTAGTTGATAATTTTTATTATTATACATATACCTACCTATATTATATTTTTTACGATGGTTATAGAATTAAAAGCAGCTTTGGTGAGAAAATACAGCATAAGCGAAGATGATTACAGGATGATGGAAGTTGCCATCATCGAAAACAAACCTCACAAAGCTGGACCACAATGGAAATTTGCGGGCGCATTTTATTTCTCCACAGTTGTTTTGGCTATGATTGGTAAACGGTTCTATTCTTAAAATTAAAAAAAAAAAGATAATAATGTTGTTTCTTATAATAAAAGTTATAATTCATTAGGTACTTGATTAAATAAAAAAATTGTCATCAAAACTGCAGTTGATTCTGCTTCTGCTAGTACATATGTTGCATATTTCATTTATAAAATACTGTAAAATATTTTCCTAAAGGTACTAAAAAAATCAGATATTAACTTACATAGAATATTGAATAAAAACTATTGCAAAAAAACTATACATTTATGACGTATTCAGAAGTTTAGGTGTAGGTATAAGAAATATGTTTTTTGCAAGGCATTCATTGTGCATTTGTTGTGCAGATATTGCAGGGGGAGATTAAAAGCTCATGTAGCAAATATTCATGTTTTCCCTTCATTTCATATTTATAAAAATTACAAATTCTACTTATAATTATAAAAAATAACACTATTACTAATTACTATAATATTGAATAATAATAATAGCTTTAATAAAATATAAAGTAATACAATATCATTTATAATGTATGAATTCTAAAATTATTATCTTTTTTTGTTCACAGGTTACGGGCACTCGACACCAGTGACAATTGGCGGCAAAGCATTTTGTATGGCATACGCTATGGTGGGCATACCATTAGGACTTATTATGTTCCAGAGTATTGGTGAACGTTTAAATAAATTTGCGTCCGTAGTTATTAGGAGGTGATAAATCGTTTTAAAAAGGTTTTTTTAAGTTGTAATAATATGCTATAATTGTTATGGAAAACAATTAAAGAGTTCAAAAGTCCTATGACAAAATATATCAGTGAAATAACTAAAACTAATCTAATCAATTAAACCCATGTTCTAAGTATACATCATTAACGATAATAATAATTGATTGATATGATAATTATTACATTTTAGGTATACGGTTAGGTGTGTAGGTATAATTGAATGGTCATAATATGCACTTAAACATTAAATAACTGAAAACTTTCATTTTTAACTCAAACTTAATTAATTCAAATATTATTTAAGACCCTATTTTGAGTAATTTTATTAAGGCTTTGGTATAAAACGTGTAGCCAATAGCACGTTTTGACTTGAAAAAATCATAGCTAAAATGTACTTGAATGACATTTTTTTCAAAATGTGTTACAATAAAATTTCAAAGACAATAATATACAATAAATATTTTTAAATTTTTAGAGTGATACATATATTATCAAAGTACTTTACTAGTACGTTTCAATTGATATAAATTGGTTGTTCGATATTCTGATAACAATGAAGCTTTTTGGTTTCGATTTTAAGTGATATTAAAATTATAACAGTTGATATCATGAAATCATTTTTCATGGACAATATTGTCTTTTTTTTCAAGAAATGTAATGCACTGATTTGATAAAATATTTAATTTTAAATTATTAATTACATGAATTCCAGTTTTGATTGTATATTCCCAAAGGACAATAATACACTTGGTTAAATTTTTTTTTATAACATGTATTAACAATAACATGTTTTATAAAATACACACTGCAATGATACGTTTTGAATCAAAAATTAAATTCCCTAACCTAAACTTACCTAAGCCTAGCCTTATTTAAAAATACTTAGGCTCTTTCAAAAATCTTGAAAATGTAATACAAGAATCCGCATAAGTTGTGTATAAAACAATTTAAATATATTTAGACACATTTATTTAAAATAAGCATTTGATGTAAAAATAGAAAAACCTACCATAATATCACTAATAGAAAAATGAAATATTAAATAAGCAGTATAAATATATAATAAAATATCCTTAGAAAGTAGAAAAACTGTCATCTCATACCTACAGTCATGTCAGGCTCTTCTATAAATTGAATACCGTGTATTAATGTAAAAACAAAATCACAATATTATTCATTTTCCAACTACACATTAATCAAATGAAACATACAGGTGTCCTTCATAAAATAAACTAAAAATTGCAATGCCACGTTTTAGATTGTAACCACACAATTTCATTGTATTTAAAATGATAATTTAAGTAACATTTGAATGTTACTACAAATCATATGCTTTTAGTTAAAAACAAAATAAACAAAACCTGTTAGAGGTAAAATAATTTTATTATGTTTATTTACTTATAACGTCGTTAAAATATTATGATTTGATAAATCAAATGTAAAACATTCATTTGACTTTACATTGAATTATATTTTTAAATTTCTTTAAAAAAACTTATGATGAATCTTGTATAACATTATCAAGCTAATTTATATCATGAGTAAATAAAAAAAACTTTTTAAGCATTTATAGATATTACAAAAAGGGACAAAATATTTTAAAAATTATCTATATCAAATCTAGTAAAAATTTGAAAATTTTACAGTTTTTATTTTTTAATTACTACAAAAACACAAAATAGATTTTGTTAAAAACTTGTTTTGCATACAAACTCTAGTTTTCCCAAAATATTAATATACATCCATGCAACTGATTTGAATCAATATACAGCTAAAACTATAAAAGTTAGACTTCGAATTTTGACAGAACCTTTGTTCCAGAATGTAAATTTACACTAAGAAAGAATTTTTAAATATTTGCATTTTATAGATGTGCTTACAAAAGGATCTTGTTTTGGGAAACGGAAATCGAATGTTTTTTTGTTACATAAATACATAGCAATTTAAACTTCCCAAAAAATATATACTTATGATTACAGAACAAAATATCTTTTAAATTGAATGTTATCAAAATTGAATCCCTTCGGAAATATTTAGATTGTAACTATAAGTGGATACTTAGGTGATGGTCCAGTATATGACCTACAAATACATTTTTTTATCGTAAACATAAAAAGTACTAGGTATTATATCAAAAGTATGAGTCAACATTATTTAAAATTATAATTATATGTAGGTATAAAAAAATTTAGAACTTGCCTAAAAGTGGGATTCCGTCAATCTTATAAGTCATCAAGAATATTTATCTCACTTTCTGACGACAACATTTTCAAATGTCCTACACTAGTTTCGAAAAAAATTTCAAAAATAGTTACGTTTTAGTTTAAGGGAGTCAGGATCTCTATCGTTGAAATTAAATTTTCAATTTAGTACTTAGTAAATCTAGATACTATAAGACAAGATCTATTTTGTTTTTTAAATAAATATTAATATTAACTTTAAATTTAACAGTTATCTATAGTTTTTCGGTGTCTTGTCTTTTGTGTTATCTCCTGTTTCTGGATAAATAAAATATTTCGAGTGGCTGACAGTTTTGTTAATGTACTGATGTATATTTAATATTTAATATATGTGTAGGTATGGGCCGGTAAATGTTTAATTGTAAAAAGTCGTATTTACTATCTTTTAAATATTGGGTGAGCAGTTTCTTAATCATGCTTTTTGGAAGTAAAATATCCTTTTAGATTTCTAAACTAAAAATAAATACATATTTTTTACGACTTTCTTAATTTTACAACTCAACTGTTACACTTATACTATATATTGTATGCTTATTGTTTAAATTTGTATTCCCATATATTTTATTATTATTCATTTAAATTGGTAAAACTAAAAACACATAATATTTTATTTGGATATTTTGTAATAGGTACTTTAATAAGATTAAATGTTTTTAATGACTCACTACGTATCACGTATGTTAAATTTTTCTTCACATATTCAAACGATATGTAGTCTGTAGTCATCATAACTATATTGTCACATTCTTATTGATAGTTTTTTTAGAAATGCAAATAACTGTATTATTTTTTAGTGAACAAATATAAGTACTTGATTCTTAAGTCCCTCGAGATTCATGAAATACTGTTCCGTGTTTGTAAGACTTTAATCAAGCCAGTGAAAACTAACCACAAAGTATACTCATATTCACAAAATGTTAGAATTGATTCGGGTAATTACAACCAAATATCAAATTGGGCGAAAACCAAAATAATTTGGATTAAATCATTTGATTAAAATATCATTGAGATTTGAGTTGATTAAGACGTCGGAATTTTTTGGTATTTCGTGAATGAAAAAAATAAAAATAGATCTCATATACTCATAAGTATATGGCTAACATTTTTTATGTAAGTATTAACATTGTATGGAATTGAAAAAATATTTGGGAATAAATATTGAAAAATGTATCTACATTATATATAGTAATGTATTTGTATCAACATAATTTCATTAGAACGCTTTTCATGATCAAATTTTTATTTTTATCATTTATATTTAAGCCCAGTCAGTGTTTAATGAAATTTACATTTTGCATACAAGATTTTTCACTCAGGCTTAAAAACGGTACCCCGCTGATTAAAATGATTTATTTTATCATACTTCAGAATTTCTGATAATCTCAGGTCGATAGCCTGGTTAAAGAAGCAGCAGATATTCTGTTGACGTGTTTTCAAGTCAATATTTCAATATCCAACAACGATATACATAATACAAAACATTTTAATTATTCGTCTACAGGGCCAAACAATATTTAAAATGTAAAAAGGAAGAAGCCACGGAAATGAATCTAATGTTCGCCACTGGACTACTGTCGTCGGTTATCATCACCACTGGTGCGGCCGTATTTTCAAAATACGAAGGATGGAGCTATTTTGATAGTTTTTATTATTGCTTCGTTACCCTCACCACCATCGGTTTTGGAGATTACGTCGCACTACAGGTACTTATAAAATGCTTTTCAAGTAATAAGTTTTCGATACTGGTCCTATATGCTTCCCATCGTCTGACATTTATCTTCTTCCAAACTGTAATATCCTAACACCCTATTGCTGGAGTTCTTTAATGAGTCATAATAGTTGATAAATTTATATTTACATGAATATATCAATAAGGAACATAATAGGTTTATTGTACTTAATATTATGCAATGTGCCTTACTATAAACCCATATTTCATCCACACTACGAGAAATTTGTTTTTACATCGAATAACAATAAATTGATATTAACTGTTCTTGGATGGATTGACCTTTTCATATATTGGCCAAATTTCTATTGTTCAATAAATTTGTTTTTTTTTTACGAGACCCCACATTTTTAGAAAAACCGCAGTATTTATTTAGAAATTGTGGCTGTCGCATATTATGATCGATATAACTTTGTTTGTGTCTTAGTTTGTTCACTGAATAACAAATAATAATAACATAAAAATGTATATGTACTTCAACACTAACCGCAACAGTTGGTTAGTCTGCATCCAGCGATTTGAAATTATTACGTTTTAACTTTTAATAAATATTGTTTTAAAAGTATGATTGTTATTTATTTTAATTTATAATTTATGGTGTGGGTAATTATAATATTGTCGTATTCGACAAAAAATAACAATTGTGATTCAATAACCCATGATAGCTGAATGGAAAAAAAATGTAAATAAATTCTGTACAACACAGTGATCGAAATATAATCATACAGTTAATATATTGTATTGTACTTACTATTTAGTATATTAGACCAGTATCAGTTTTAAATTTTATATTTGCCTTGATGTAGTGTACAAAAACATTTTTAGCTAATCGAAATACACAATTATCACCATTTTATAATTTTACATCAATTTTAATATAATATAGTTTGCTATATTAAATTATTTATTCTTATTAGTTATTATGTCCTAAGACACAAATTGTGTACTTCTAATAATAATAATAATAATAATAAAAACTATTTTAAATGAGGTAGTGAATTATAATCTCGGTAAAATATATTATTAATATAAGCAGTAAAAAGTTAATGATGTTAATTTCGGGGATTTCAATAACAATTTAATTCAATGGTCATGGTTATTAAATGTTTTAATCATCGCTATAATATTATGTACTTCTGTACCTGATTGTTGTGATTTGTAATATTTGTAATTTGTATACTAAGAAGAATCATTTATTTGGATCGTTTTTAATTGAAAAGCCAATAGATAACAGACATATTAAAAATTCTACGAAAGAAATTTAATGTTTTTATCATATTGTATGAATTGTGTTAATTGATGAAATGAAGTTTGTCGAACATAGGTATAAACTATAGTTTCCATTGATTTGGTTTCACTTTTGTTTTATTTAAATTGTTATTTGTTGTGTGATTAAAATGTATTGTTCAAAATTTTTATTAAGTTAAATTTTCAATTATAACTTGTAAGTAGGTACCTACCAAAAAGTAATTCTGAACTGATCAATGGAGACTTTAATACATTTTAATTTAAGTATACAATATTAACATTTAAAAACGTATTATTTTAGAATTCATAATATATGATATTTTTTTTCATACCAATTGAAATTAATATAATTGTACTGTATAATGTTTATAAATATTTTGATAATACCTTTATAAAATCTTGATATTATCTCAATACCTACATATTTATTACCTACCTACATTATATCACCTACGCCTCACCTATACCTACATTTTCGTGTTACGAGCAGTACGTAATTAAGGACAACACAAAATAAACAACAAAAATAATAATGATTAAATGAATTATTATTTATTATTAACGATTCAGAACATAATATAGGTTTATAAAATTGAATATGACAATTATTGATCTACACTATTTATTAATTAATTCAAATTTATTACTCTATTTAGTTATTATATTAAGATTTAAGACTATATTATTATGAACATATTTCAGATTATCTTAAGTAAGATAAGATACATATTTTAAATATATGTTATATCAGAACATTTATTGTAACAAATCGATAAATGTACAACAATTTACAATTATTTTTTAGTATTATTTTGCTTAATGCACTTACAATCAGTAGCAGATTTAGCGAGTTGCAAGGGGTGCAATACAACGGGCACTCAAGACCAAGGTTATTTTACGAACTTCAGGTTGTGTTCTATATTTGTTAGAAAATGAATCAACTATTAAGAACATTGAATGAAAAAACAACAAATTTTTATATTTGTCACTAGACTTGCTTCATCCACCTCTTCTTGAAATGGCTTAGAAAAATGTACATAATTCATTATTTAAACTTTTACTTAGTTACATATACATTTATCAGGTTTATTTTTAATATCGTTAGAAAAGATACGTCTATAATTTATAAAGATGAAATATTATATGTTTTTAAGTACTTTGAACTAGCTAAGTATTTTAGGGATAAAAATAAATTGTCAAGTTATCATTTTTAAGGATATAAATTCCATTATGTACCTACGTCATAAATACATTTTAAACAGAAAATACTATTAAGATATGATAAACTTATACAATTTTAAGTTTTAATACATATAAACTTTGTACTAAGTACAAAACTTAATCTTATAAAAATGTCACCAATTTTTTGAAAATTGTTTTTGATTTAAATCATAAAATTTTAGTTCCCTAAAATATTAGTAAATTAAATTGTACCAACATTAAAATAAACTGAATTACAACCAAATAATGAAATAAAATTTTAAGTTTTTATTTTTACTGTATTCGCAAAAATAAAATAATCTGTTATTATTAAAAACTTATCAATTAATAGAGAGGTAATAAAGTAATGTACCTAGTAAATAAAGTAATGTGATATCATTTGACGTATTTGAATACAGAGAAAAAGCGAGTGCTCTTGAGAAACATAAATATATACCTAAATGTTGAAAAAATAATTTCTAGTTGTGTTTTAAGGTATAAAAATCATTTCGAAATAATATATTTTGGATAGTGTTGACGTCATTCTGAATTAATTACTTAAAATCGATGTATAATAAACATCTTTAAAATATTTTTAATCAATTTTATTAACATATAGTTAAAATTAGAATGTTTAATTGTAAAATTAAGTATTACATTACCTAGGCTTTTTTAAAATTGTTTTTAAAAGTTTTCTCTCCATATTAAATATTAAATACTATTATTAGATTAAATATCATTGGTTATATGTAATAAGATTACTAGTTTTTAACTTTGACAAAGAACAATAAGAATTTTTACATAATATAATTATGTTTCGCATAACAGTTATTCAACTATACATACAAAATAAAGTATATTTACAATAATAAGTAAAAATAAATGAATTAATTTAAAATCTCGTCGTTGAGACGACCAAGCTGGAGTCGGGATCTGTTAGGACGGTCAATCCGAAATGTTATGGACCGCTTGCTTTGTGTATATGACTGAAGAAGAGCTAACCGATAGGATCTTGATGTAGTTTACATTACCTAGTGAATTCAATAAAAAACATTGAATTAATTTTATTCTTAACCAATTAATTTTAAAAGCTTGATACATCAAGTGGATCAGTGATCTCCAATGAACGATTTTAATACTATAATACACGACTAATAAGTTATGAATATTAATCATTACATAATTGTATATACGTACATCAATTGTGTAACTATATACTATTCACGACCTACTAGTAATTCGATAAGCAAAACATAGAATAATAAGCAATAATTACATTTAAGCATTCTTCTAGTAAATAAATCCAATACCTACATTTATCATTAAGCTCAAAATCTTAAAATGGTGCATTTTTTTATACAAAAAAAATGATTCTACCTATTTCTAAGGATAAGCTATGGTATATTAATATTTAAATTATTATTGCTATTTTCTTAATGCGAAATCTTGAACACATTTTTTTAAAAAAATATTGCTTTTAGAACTTTTGAGTCCATACCGAGGTGCTTACCATAGAATGGAGTGAATAGTTTATTCTGAATACTTAAAAATTTAATTGTGTATAGAAAAATAATAATTTACGTTTTAACTTATTACGTCTGTGGATCGATTGATGTCCAAACAGCTTCACTTAATCTTAAAAATTCCCTCTCATCCTAAAGAAAGATATGTATGCACTTAATCGCTGTTAAAAATTTATCAATCTAAAATCTTCTGATCTTAAATTGAAAAGCGTCCACGAAGAATATAAACTATTTTACAATTGATTCTATATTCATCTTATCTCCTAAACTTATCAAAAATCTCTAAAGGAGCTTTATTATCAACATAGCATCCCATAAAAAAACCCTAGATCTGCCGGTATTTAAATTATAATTTTCTTTAGTATTGGAGAAGTAAGCTTTTCTGTACCCAGTTGAATATGTACCTAATTAGTAAAACATAATTCACATTAAATGCAATTTAAAGTTTTTCAAAAAATATTCAAAATTAAATATAAAACACTCACTATTTCGTATAAACCATCTACAGATAATTATATTTTAAAATAATATCTTGGAAAGTATAGTAAGGATAAAAAATATTTTTTTAAAGTATATCATATTTCATAATAGATTAAAACTGAAAGTATGTTTTGTCTGCATTTTGATAAGTCTCTATTATTAGTATATTTTAATATAAGTAGAAGGAATAATTATAGTAGATATTGTTTAAAATATACATAAATTCAACATTTTTACTTTAAAAAAAAAAACATTTCAAATGGAAAAAAGCTCAAAGTTTAGTGTTAAGAATTTATCTTTACTTAAATAGTATTTTAATCTTTATTGAAATTTGAGGTTATTTAGAATTTTTCCGCTAATTTTTGACACACATTATGAAAAAATAGAGAATTTTATCTTGGCTGATAATTCACGGAAGTGACCATTATATTCAGCAATTTTCATAAGTACCTATATGTATAATTATTTATTTATTTAATAAAAATATATTATGTATTTATTATTATATAGGTATTGTATTATA